GAAGAGAGAGATTTAGAGAAAAATAGGGCAGAAATTGGGGGAAAGAGGTCTGAAATAGTCGAAATTTAGTCCTTAATTGGTCCTTAATTGGTCTAACTTGATCTAAAATGGCCGCAAATTGTCCAAAATAGGCTTAAAATCGTCTAAAATAGGTCTGAAATGGTCTGAAATAGTCCAAAATTGGTTTAAAATAGTCCAAAATGACCCAAAAGCGGTCCATATTCAGTCTTAAATGGTCCTAAATGGCCTATAATAGTCCAAATTTTGTCAAAAATTGGTCTAAATGGTCGGAAATTGATCTGAAATGGTCTAAATCAGGTCTTAAATGGTCTTTAATAGTCCAAAACTAGCCAAATCCGGTCTAAAATGGTTCAAAATCAGCCAAAAGTAGTCCAAAGTAGGTGAAAAATGGCCGAAAATTCTCCTAAAATAGTCTAAAATAGCCTAAAAAAGGTCTAAAATGGTCCAAAATGACCCAAAAGCGGTCCATATTCAGTCTTAAATGGTCCAAAATGGCCTATAATAGTCCAAAAGTGGCCAAAAAAAAAGCTGAAATTTGGCCTAAAATGTCCAAAGATCGGCTCAAAATCGTCAATTTTCTCACCAAATCCATGAAATACCGTATTCCGGGGCACTGTAGTTGGCGATGACATCGTCATCGCTTTTTCGATCGGAGCAAAGTGGGCGGAGTCTGGAAATTTTGAAATTTTGAGAAAAATTGGTCCAAAATAGTCCTAAATCGGTCCAAAATTGGTCTCAAAATCCGTCAAAATTCATTGATTGCTCATCCTTAACAACCCGGCTACAGTAATCCTTGAAAAAAATTGGTCCAAACATCGCCAAAAACGATTGATTGCTCATATCTAAAATCCTAGCTACAGTAATCCTTGAAATGGACCAAAACCCCGTCCAAAATGGACCAGAATTACGGATTGCTCATCCTTAACTACAATAATACTTGAAATGAATAAAAAACCAGTCTGAAATAGCCCAAATTAGCGATTGCTCATCTTTAGGCTATTACCGTAATCCGACCTCGTGTTTCGAAAAATGAGGCCGAAATTAGCCTGAAATTGATGCAAATTGACCCCAAAAAACTCAAAAAAGCCGGATTGCTCATCTTTAATTGAACTACAGTAACCCTAATGTTCTTACAGTACACCTCTCGGACACCCAACTCTACGATCTCTATGACCAACGACGTCAGAAGAATTCGAGGAATCTGAATTCTGAAGATCCGGACGATGATGATAATGATGTGACACTGACTGATAATGGTCCGGATATTGTCGAATCCGCGTTTCAAGGATATTATGCTGAGCAATCGAAAAAGGAGACGCCGATTTTGAGCGGTTTTGGTGGGTTGGATTTGACTGAAAATGGCTGAAAAGCGATTTGGATTACTGTAGATTCTGAAAAAGGGGATTACTGTAGGATTACG